TCAGTTTAGCCTTTTCCAAACAGCTAAACAGCAATGTGGGTATTACCGGTACGGACCAGAATGGCGACACTTCTATTTTACAGGAGGAAGACCTAATGGCTAATCTCCAAATAAACCCGGCAATAGTGCTAAGGAGGCTACAGGGACCCACATCTGGGAAGTCCCCAGGTTACGACGACATCAGGCCATGTGTCCTGAAGCAGTGCGCCGAAGCTCTCCATATGCGACTTGTTCCAACACCCGATGGATTCGGGAAACTGCCAAGGGAGTGGAAAAAAGCCATCTTTTCTCCGATCTTCAAGGGTGGGGATAGGCAAAATGCCGCTATTTATAGACCAGTAGCGCTACTTCCAGTGATATCAAAAGTACTGGAGAGTATTATTTACGATCACATCACTGAATACCTCGATAGGTCTGACATACTCCATGAAGCCCAACACTGTTTCAGGAGAGACAGAACCTGTGTAACAAGCCTACTATCAACTTAGGACCATTGGACATCATGCTAGGATATGAATGTTCCACTCCGTGTGGTCTTCCTAGACTTTGAGAAGGCATTAGACACCATTCACCATGACCTTCTCCCACACAAAATAAGTCAGGTATAGGTAAGCCACTTCTGTCACGGTTAAAGGATTGCCTGGCTAAAAGGCAATTTTCACTAAGGCCAATCGAGCCCGATCGTCTTTGCAGAGCTCGTCATTAGGAGTGTCGCAGGGTTCTATCCTAGGGCCATTGATGTTTTTGATATTTGTCAATGAACTACCATGTCGTCTAAGCTACCTGGCTCTTCTATACGCTAATGACGTAAACATATGGAGGGCGATAATGTGTCCGGAGGACTCAGATATGCTGCAGTTAGATATAAAGCTTCTGGAAGACAGGGCGGTGGTCAGTGACATGACTTTAAAACCTGAAAAAGTGCAAAGTAGTGAAATTACTCACCTGTAGTCTGCAGACTGCAAGTTGCACCCTGTGCAATGAAGGCTTGTCGTGCACAACGTCGGAGCGCGACTTAGGTCTATTTCTAACGGAAAAGATGGACACAAGCGTAAATTACACAGGGGATGTAGCGAGGGCATATGCGGTCATACAATTTACACACAGACAGTTAGGTGCACTCACTCCTGAGCTCTTTCTAAGGTTGTACATAACATACGTTGGACCACTTCTTGAAGTGCATAACATCACTGCACCCTCACTACTTAGAAGAGACGCCAATCTCTTGGGAAAGTCCGAAGACGGGCGAGCGAAGAAGTGGTTGGTCTCGGAAATAAACTTTATGATAAAAGACTAAAGAAATTAGGCCTATTCACAATTAGCTACCGTCGGTTCAGGGGGATTTGATTACTGCCTATAAGATAACAAATGGCCAGGATCAACCAAACTAATGTGTTTTGCCATTGAGTAGGTATAGGCTTCCTCACAGAAGTCCCAGGAGGATAGCTCACCGGAGGGCAAGAACCCAGGTGCTCTCCTACTTCTTTTCACTGCGGGTTTTTCGTCTCTGGAATTACTTACCGGTAGATGAAGCTATGGCACCGTCTGTGGACGCCTTTAAGCGAAGTCTGGACAATCATGCAGCGACACAAGGACTGAGTCTAAATGGCCTATCCTCATAAAATCCCATACACAGGGGGTAGACAACCAAGTACTCCATTTTACTTCTTTACATTCTCTCCCGTCTTACTCTCATGACAACCGTAACTACACTTGTTATTATTACCGATATATGTATACGTATTTAAAACTTCAAATTTAATCAGCTGTCTGTTTTTACGTTTTCATATTTCTTTTTCTGTCTGTTAGTCTGAACAAATTCACAAATTATATTTATTAATATTTTCCCTTTTCTTTTGACGACAATACCGGAGGACCGGCTAGTGAAAGTATCGACTGTATTCACAGTAGTAACAGTCTTAACACATCTCATACTACAAACCATATATGATTAATCCTATCACTACTTCTTTTGGAGTCAACCAAAGCTACAACAGGCGATTGGCTGGAAGAGCTGCGCAAAAGTTTGCCGAAAATCAGGAACATCTACTTCACAATTAGGAGGGGAGCACAAAGAAATCGAATTGGTTTATACCAGCTAGTAAATACGATATTGGATATTGAAGGTAGACATTGAAGAAAAGAGGAAATTTCAAAGAATGCGTTACTGGGGACAGATTGTTAGTGATATTTGGGATCATTGTTCCTAATAAGTTGTACGTGTTTAATTAACATATGTTAATTGTTTATTTAAAATTCTTGTGACGATATCTTAGGCCACTGTTTTTCTAAACATATGGTTTTTGGTCAACGACTGAAACTCCTTACCTGATTCACCCAGCTAGCATTTTCTTCGGGCGCATTGCAGACTTTTTGGGGCCAAAAGCTTCGGGTAAATCTACTTACGTGGGCCACTGTCCCGAAGTCTGCCCCAAAATGTCTGCAATGCGCCCTAAGTCTGCCTCGAAAAGTCTGCAATGCGCCCTAAGTCTGCCCCGAAAAGTCTGCAATGCGCCCAAGGTTTGCCCCAATGAGTCTGCAATGCGCCCTAACTTAATATGACAAACTGCAACCTGGGATAACGTGCCTACGGTTCCGCATTTAACTATTAGTCGACAATTAAATCAGAGTTAAATCTATTACGTATACAGGTCGTCTCAAAAAACAAACTGGCAGTAGCTCAACGACTCACATTATCAAAAAGCAGTTGATTTTAATTGAAAACATATTTAATAACCTTGGCAAAGGAATTTACAATCTTTAGTTAAGTTACTGATATATATCCATATAAATGTGTGTTTGTTTGACAGTCGGAATATTTGCTATGTATATATGGATCGATATTCCATTATAATTAGCCAATCATGTTAAGACTGTCTATTGATTTGTTCACTTTGAATATTCGCTCACACACTTGTTCGGACATTCATATATTTTGCTCTCACACTCTTGTGTGACATTGATTCTCCTTGTGTTTTGGAAAATAGAAGTATCATCGCAAACCTAGTGGTCTTCTGATTTCCGTCTTTCTTGCGTCAGGACTATTAAATTCTCAACCAGTACATAACAGTTACTAAAGTAAATATTTTCAAGGATTAACATAGACCACAAGAGCCTTCTATCCTCATCATCTGAATCTGCCCTGCCACTAAAACATACATAACTATATATATAGTAAGCTTTAAAGAGACTTTCTTTACAGAAAGTTTTAACTAGTTTACTAACATACTGTTATCTGCAGTGCAAAGGCCAACTTATCTAACAAATTTAGAAATTAATCAGTTCTAATTTGGAAGACACCTGTTAGTCTTAATGATCACGCTCCACATAGATCGTGAATGGGAAACGTACTTTCATCCTTCACAGGTTCACCGAAATTTTCTTCTAGAAGGTCCGGACACTGCTGTACTGGGTTTTTTAATCCTAGTATATATGTTTGTGAACAGTGGACTCAAACGTATCTCGTATAAAGTTTTTCAAATCGACAATCGTAGGTTAAGTAAGAAACGTATATTTTGGTGACTTTTTTTAGGTGATTATCTAGCAGATGGAAAGCGGATCGGTTTTACGTAGAAACCTAGCTTGAGAGGTCTTATTTTAGATGATATTGACAGTTTCAACCTATCCTAATTTTTGTTGCACAGAAGAATGTAGTGTTTCTGATGTTTGTTTGAAAATTTGTTGCATTTAGTTCGCTGATTTTTGCTCATTACATGTGAAATTTCGTGTCTAGATTTCCGGAGTGAAAGCATGAAAATTGTGAAAGTTTTATTATATTTGTGTGGGATGTTTGTTATCGACTAGCAGCTTGGCTACCATTTCTAACTCATCTAAATGTTAAGGCATAGCGCTTTGTTGACATCTTTTAACTTGTGTTCCTAAAGTCTAATTCAAACCATGTAAATATCTTATCAGTCCGTTGTATTCTATGATGAGTGATGTTCCTGAACATTCGGATTAGGCTGGTAGAAGACATAACTAAACTTGACATCGATCTTTGGAGTTATTGACTCTTAGCATGGTCGGCTTAGAAAATTTAGGTTGTGACTGATTTTCTCGGGATGCTAATAGCCAATCTTTAGGGTCTTGTTATTGAAGCTTAAAACCGATGCCACTCGTAAAGAAGTATTCTCGTACTGCCAGCAGGAAGTTTTGAGTAGTTTTACTTACTCCTTTCCTTGCTTCCTTCTATTCCCTTTTGTACCATTTAATTTCTCCTTCATTTTGTGATGTTCAGAGTTGTTGCCATCTACTGTAATTTTTTAGCCCCTACTTTGAATGTGAAACAGCTAAAGCAGTATACGATAAGACTAATCAGTTACTTTCACTAAAAGTTGATGAATTAAGTTAGACGATTTGGAAAATTTATACAAATATTCAGCATTAATGTAAAGTGCTATGATGAGGTTGAATGTTGTTTGAAAACATAGAATATTTCGGGGTGTTATTTTTAAGTATTGAAACAGCAGATAAAGAATTAATTGAAATGAGCATACTGCAAAATGAATGGTGAGTCCTTTCGCTAGACAGACGTTTCCTCTCCTAACTTGTTTTCACTGAAACCTTAAGTAGTTCAGTTGATGTATGTCCAATGAATTATTAGTGTTATAAAGTTTGGCTTAATGATGACAACATAAAACTTTCAAATGATGGAACGCAGGTTTGGTGACTTGTCTCATCAAACTGCGAGGTGGGTATCTTGCATGTTAGCTCAAAAGCATGTGATCAGTTTCTTGTTTTCTCTTGTTGATATTATGTACTGGACTAAAAATATTTTTCAATGTTATATGCTACTACCCAACGAGACGGACTGAAGGTATTAGCGTCTTTAAAATAAAATTAAAAGGAAACGATTGGAACATATTTTCGTCAATTCTTAGTTGTATTCTTCACTTTTATATATCAAGTCAACTCATGTATTATTTTCTTATTATTTTTTAGTATATATACAGAAACCAAATGATTAGATTTCCTGATGTTATCGTATCTAATCCTTAAATATGTTGCAAAGCTTGTTTATCATAAGCCGTTCAAAGTAAGTATTAAATTGCCTTTTTTATGTCTTAGTGAAATGTGTTTAGAAAAACACTGGACAAAAAACATTTCAAAAGCTGTTTGTGATAATTTTTTCGATGCTGTAGCGAAATGTACATCAGGGGATGTACCACCTATTCTGGAAGCTTCTAACAATTCGCTTATTCATATTTTGCGCAATAACTTGTATTTTCTCGCCGTATGTACTAATGAGAGTATGTTCTTAAAATTTATGGGTTCTTATATTTCTAGTACCTCCTCTACTTGTGATAGAATTCTTAGACTGTGTAAGCTCAATAATCGAGGATTATTTCGGGTCTGCTACTGAAACGATAGTCAAAGATAATTTAGTCTGCATATATGAAGTTAGTTTTCCCACCAAATCAGCTAGAGTTTAACTAGATTTTAGATGAAATGCTTGATGGCGGTTTTCCTTTAGCCACGGAACCAAATATTCTGAAAGAGATTGTGCGTCCTTCTAATTTCCTTCAATCACTCACAGATGCAGTTACCGGAAAAAATACAAACGTTGGCTCAACGCTTCCAACCAATCAGCTATCGAATATACGGTGGAGACGTTCTGGTGTTAAGTACACAAACAATGAGACTTATTTTGATTTGATTGAAGAGATTAACGCAATTATTGATCGTTCTGGGTATGCAATAACCAAGGAGATTCATGGATCAGTAAGTATTTAATATTTAATCTTTGAAGCAGATCTGCCGAAAACACTTTTTTTACTTATTTACTCTCATGACGCCTGTTTGCCTACTGCTTTGATGGGATTTCTGTCTTTTTTTCGGTTTAAACCTGAATCGCTCAGGATTACTTTATTACTGTTGTGCGATGTATACTTGACTTAACAAAGGATCGCCTGTACTCGACTTTTCAATCTTACGTTTCTTGCTCAAACATCTAGATAGATGTCAGTCATTATGTTTGTTATTCCTCGTTTATCTTCTCAGTATTGATCTAAGCAATGTTAGTAAAAGATATAGATTGACATCATTACGAACAATGATATATGGACAGAACACACAAATGCTTTGTATCAATTTGTGAGTTTTGCTTCTTGTTTAAGGCCTTTTGGAGCTCTCTGGTTTTAAAAAGAAAATTAGGTAGAGCTAATTTAAACAGACATTCAAATTTAAAAGAGGACTTAGTTGGGAATAATTACGTTTGGTGTAACACCAGGAGATATAGAGTCGATATATATATTGGCTAGCAGCCTGCTCTCACCACAAAAGAACTCACTATGCAGCTGATTTTATTTTGGACAGAACAAAATCCTAAGCCCAAAATAGTAGTGATAATAATACAACAGCTTTGTTCTGGACAGTGTTTATATAATGTACAGAATTTTCAATGAAGATTCAGTGAATCATTGTCAAACACGTACAATTAAAATGACGCGTTGCTTATACCGGATTTATGTATAATTAGAATGAATAACAAGAGTGAGACAGAAAGTTTATGAAGCACATTATGAAGCTATGTGTATAGATTGATGTGGTTATAAGCAATAAATTTTACTTTACTTGAAACCCCATCCAGTTATTAATACTTTATCACTGTCTGTTATATCAAATAAACCTATGTAATATGGAGTAATATATACACTTTGTTAGACATCCATTTTAAACATATTTAGTCATGTTTTATATCATTTGGTTATAGGTTGAATGTCTTGTCAAACTGTCTGGGACTCCAGATATGACGTTGGCTTTTACAAATCATCGCCTAATTGATGATGCTAATCTACATCCATGTATCCGATTTTCACGGTGGAAAAGAGAGCGGATTTTATCCTTCATACCACCTGATGGAAAGTTCTGTCTTTTTAAATACCACGTAAACTCACTAAGGTAAATTGAAAATATTATTGGTTGAAATAGTTCTTATTATGTGCGTCTATTTATTAATTATCTCCAAACCACGGAAATCGAGAGGATATTTAAATTGACACCCTTAAACCACTAAACTATGGAAATGAAAATAAACTTATAATCATTTGGAAAATATTATCGTTTATATACTGTTGGGCAATCAAGGGAGATATGTAGGGTGTATCATCTCTTTATTTCAGATATCCAGACATTGTCTTATTAAAAATTGTGATTTAAAAGGTTCATCAATTAGTTGTCTGGGAAGTGGTTGACATTCTGTGGGGTGCATGACCTACATATTAGTCGATCTGTTTGATATAACTGGTGTCTACTTCTAATTAATTAATCAAATGAATTTCACGCTGCCATCACCAAACTAGGTGACTGTACATGTTGGTGTACCTTGTTGAATGTTAGGAGGCATTCATCAAGTTTATATTTCACATTTCTTTTTGCGTTTTCATTATGTAAAACACCTAACTGATAACTTTTTCGCAACTGTTATACCAACTTCGACCAAACAAAAAGGTGAACACTGCATTCACGTTTGCAAGTGAGAAAAATTGTACGGAAATACGTTTTGTTTTACAATGTTTTAGTGTTTCATGATGTTTAAAGATGCTTTCAAGGTTGAAATATCCACTCCTAAAGACGTGAATTACTGAGTCGAGGTAGCATTTATAATTTATTTAAACGCATAAAAACTTGGTACAATGTGGCACCAAGAGGGATGCGCCACACAATAATAATAAAACAACATAGATCAAAAGAAAAACAAAAAAGGAAAGAAGAGAAAAAATATATATAAGTAGAGAACGGATGAAGAACTTCATTTGGAAGGAAAACAGTCATGCTTAACAAGTTCAAACAATATTCGTTAACTATCATCGGGAAGGTAAGAAAGAATGAAATCGCAACACGCGTAATAGCACGTGATAAGTTTCATTGATTGTTTGTTGCTTCATTCAGCTCATTGTGTGAGGGCTGAGATACTGCCCGGGCGCCCAAACCGAAGCAGGTGGTTTTATTAAGGGACCACCCCCCGAGCCTTTGACTTGGAGTCTAATCCGCAAGGCAGCGGAGCAGCGTCAGGAGCTGCATTCCCATGGTTGCCGGTGACCCATGTGGGTTCATACGCCATTTGATCCGATTGGAAACTGGAGCCCATGTACCCCATGGTAACTGCTTTTAGTTTAACCGCTATCCAGAAAACCTTCCTGACATGGTAGGACCTGTGGAGACAGGGTTCCAGTCAGTTCAGCTTGTTGGGTCATTACGGTATTCAAGCCCGTCCACCACGACAAGGTGGCAGTTATCGGCCGGTCGAGGTAGTACAACTTCTTACGAAATTGTATGGAATATAAAATACACATGATAAAGTTTAATTGTTTTCCAGACATTCTTAACTCTAAATATTGAGATCAGGTTGTAACAACAGAAGACAAGGGCCAGGCAACAGATCGTTTTATTATGAAAATCAACACGTATTTATACATATTTCACATACATCATTATAGCTTATGCAAGTAGACAAGCGCAGTTATCTGATTGGTTGTTTATCAGAAGTTAGGCAGACAAACGCAGGCTTCTGATTGGTTGTTTCGGGATTCCTCGACAAATAGAGTTCTTTATCTGCGAATCATATTTTGCCACGTTAACTTTGCTGTGATTGGTTGTTGAATCAGCCTTGCTCATATTTTCTCACGACCTGCTCTCACCACAAGGTGAGTGGAGAGTACCAAAACTTCCTGAACAACCACAAAATAAACTGGGAATATTTTCTCTATTTCCAACTAGTAGTTTCTTTTATCATTTTTAAGAAGCATTTGAAGCAACTGTACATTAAATGTTGGTACTTTGTAATTTACTTATGTGGCGATATTGTTTTCCGTAAATTATTTAGTTACAATTTTAATTCATCATCTTTCCTCTGCTATTAAGAAATGAATTTTCTTTTCAAAAATTTATTTCAGCCCAGTGTCTCTTCCTATTATACTACGACACAATGTTCTTCTTCGTGAACATGGAGGTCGCTTGGATGTAGTTGTGGTACCAAAAACAATGAATAAACCCGTAAGTAAATTTTTATGTGAATTAGCTAGCCCGAAGTCGAGTGGTTTGAATTGATTCAACTTTTTGAACTAAGTTAAACCTGGTGGTACACCTCTGATGAGCTCGGCGCCGAATGAGCGAAACGGTCGTCCGGTGTTTAGATCAATTCAGTCTCGCTAGAAAGCGCTACTGGGTTGGTGAGAGTGGCATGCAACTATTCATCTCAGTCAATCAGTAGTATATCGTTTCTTACGCGCTTATTTTAATTAATATTTATGGTTTAGTAACTACGTGCCACGATGTGGTGAAAGCTATCTGCAAGCCAAAATTGTAGACAACAATTTACGTCAATGTTTACAATCCAAACTGGGGTCATGGGAAAAACAATAACAAAGCTTAACCTTGAGGAACTCACCAGCCAACCACAACAGACTTAACATGTGCGAATAACATTCGCAGATATATAGCTTAACTTTCTAAGAAACGGTCACAAGCAGAATTACGGAATAACCTTCAGCAAGAAAACAACCAATCAGAAGATATTGCTTCTCTGGTGACAATAATGTTCACAAAAATCTATAAATATGTGATGATTTTCTCAATAAAGGATATGTTGCCTGGCTCTTGTCTTCTGTCGTTACAATGTTAGCTCTATATTCTATACAGAGTACAAGGAATGCATAGTAGTAACAGTAATAATAAATAATGTAGCATCTTTTGGTTTGAAACTAGTAACTAGTGTGATGTATCTAGTCCTCATTGGTGCAGACTGAATTCTATCAGTCAGGTTGCAATGTGGCCACTATTCTAGGTAGGCCGCCATCACGGTACACGTTGATTTGATGATATTAGATAGTTAGAGGCAATCGGCTGGAAGCCTTGGACCTAGGTTTCCTGTTAGTTGGCACTCATCAGCAAGGCATATCTACAACCTTGAAGGAACTCATGTCCCTTCTGAGATTCAAACCCGCGTCACCCAGTGCTGCAGTCAAAACGTTACCACTAAGCTATTCAGGCTCGCGACTGACCTCTTGTAGGACTGTAGTGGATATTTTGGTTTGACACTAGTAACTAGTGTGACAAAAACTAGGTTGCAGATACGCCTTGCTGATGAGTGCCAACTAGCACGAAACCTAGGTCCAAGGCTTCCAGCCGATTGCCTCCAACCATCTAATGTAGCATCTACACTTAAATGTGGCCTGCAAAATTCTCATCATTCCTACCTTATTTTAATACTAGGGGCTGTGGTTCATTGGTCTAGGCGCTTGACCTCCGACCAATTGTTCACGAGTTCAACTTTCGCTCCACTTACCGAGGTTTGGGCAACCAGGTAGTATCTCTAGCCCTCACATCATAGGTATGGCTCATCGCCAATTGCATGCAAATACAATTAGTTCTTGAGTAACATAATGATAACTTTTACTGCTACGTGATTCAAATTATCATCTATTCAATTATGTTTTTGAAAAGGAAATCAACTTTGTAATATCAGCCACAAATAAACTTAAGTTGTGAATATGTTTCTAGGATGATTTTACTTGAATGAACACATACATCTTCATTTAAAACATCAAAAGTATTCATTGAGTCGTGGTAAAAAAAAGTAATAAAACACAATTCGGCGATATCGATAAAGTCTCCTTAAAAGGCTATACGGTCGTATATATATGTTTGCTAAAATATATAGCAATCTACTATTAAATGGTAGAATGGGGAGTGACATAAATAGTGTCATTATAAAGAAGTGTATTCTAAAGATGGACAAAAATTGTGTAATGACAAGGCAGTGGGAGTAAGCGTTTGAGATTTAATAAGGTGTAAAAATACTTTTGGGCAATTCAAATCAACAGTCCTAAACAGGCTGTCATTAGTAATATTATTACGAAGATAAATGCCAATCACTTCAGGTCTGTTAAAAGTAGAAGGCGATCACATGAGATCTTACATAACAAGAGTTTAGGACTGATTTTTAAAGATAAATTTGCTTGTAAAATCCTCATGAGTAGTCAGAATTACATTGATGAAAATTCTGTCCATCATATAGGATGAGAATAAATTTTCAAAAAAGTTCATTCTGGAAGATCAAACTGAATAAATGGAACGAAAACGTGAATATATTGTGAAAAAAATAAAGAGTGGACTTATCATCACCTTTAATTTATTTGGACAGTTACGACCCACAGGTTCTGTAATTCCGTGTTCATAATATTTTGCGAAAGTGCTTGGAGTAAAAGAGTAATAAAACAACAAAGTAAGACCATGGAGTTCTTATGTGTAGCTACAGACTAGATAGTTTTCTAGTCACAACTTAAATTACACAATTATCGATTATTTTGATAACCAGCCAATCAAATTTCACCACGCGAATTGTTGCTCACAAATAGGACTAATATTTGCAGCGTACAATTAGTCCATGATACGTTTTTGTATGACCACTGTAATTATATTTCGCGAGTTGGAAACACACGTTTCCAATATTAATGTATGAGTTTTCTTGAAGTTACCAGCTCGGGTTGAGGAAAATCGATTAGGAAGTTATCAAGCATGTATTATTGTTGACCTCATTCGTGTCAAGATTCACCAAACATAAGAGGAGTATACATTAAAATTTTGGATTCGTTGGTTACTTGGGGAGATAAAAAATATGTACTTTAGATATTCATTCACCGTTATGTTAAAGGGTAGTAATAATGAATATGTTGTCGAAACTACAATTTCCCCAGCAGGCTTCACCTGATGATTCACAGCGAAGTGCATAAATTATTGAACAGAAGTTGGACAAGGTGTATTTTTCGGACGAAACTTGCATTATTCTACCAAGCTTTAGTCGCATACATCTAGACCATATTTGACGGGGTTATTTTAGAGTTGGATATGGATAACGTTTGTGATTTTGTTTACTAATATATTCTCCTACACTATTAACTGATCCCTATCGCACAATGGTTTTACAACGTAGAGTAAAGAAAGCATTGTCATCATAACACTTAATTTCAGTAAGGCATTCAGTTCTCTTCAGCTATACTGTTTGATATTTTGGAATGAGACTTACTAGAAATAAAGAACATTCATTATAAAATTAAACTGTCGTATTATTATATTTGAAACATTGTGCGTCGGTGGCACAGTGGTTAGTACTCTCGCCGACCATGCACATGGTCCGAGGTTCGATCTACTGCCGACGCACACCTGACATCAATGATCGACCTGCAAAATTTGGGCTACCGATATCACATGCTGAAAATTCCATACTTCTACCAAAAAGTACTGTGTGGAATCAAGCTGTAATCAAAAAAATTAAATAAGCAGTTTTTGAGCAAGTTGAACAAAATGGTAAACGGCTGAAAAATGTAGGCGTATAAAACATTACATCACACTATGGACACCATAAAGTGTGCTACGCAGAATCTCCTATTTTCCGAGAAAGCTGGGATACTGCCAGGATGCCCAGACTGGAGCAGATGGTTGTCTTAAATGGCCACCACCTAGCTCTTGGCATGCGGTCTCACCTACAAGGTAGCAGAGCATTGTCAGGAGCTATGTTCCCATGGTTTCGGGTGACCAGAACAGGTTCATATTCCATTTGATCCTTTTGGATTTTAGAGCCCATGTGCACCGTAGGTTTGGAATTAGGATTTTCCAGCTCCTTTAGGCAGACCTGTATGTCCACCAGTGTAGTTTTATAAACTCCAGGCATTTTCATCCGCCATCTCAATTTTGTGAGGAACAAGTTTATATCTAGTGGTGTGAAAAATAACAAATAAATAACGAAACGTCAGTAAAGACAACATCACTTTGTTTTTTCATTCGTCGGGAAATATAAATTATTTCTAAATAGTAGCTTGAATATTAACTGACTGAATTATGAAGACTGTATTCCTAGTTTAGTATATTTCCTGACACTTTTTGTGAGTTGAAAATAATAATAGTTTTAATTATGTCATATTCTAGTAATGTTTTCTCAAATTTTACTAATGATATTGTGAATTTATTTAGTTTACTCTATGCTTAATATCGATGTGGATTTCATCGCGGACCAACATTGGTTAGAGGAAACTATTATCGGCTACTGAATGGATGTCCTGAAGTTATGATGTGAACTTGTGGCCAGTAGGGACCACTATGTTAGGGTGAAGTGGGATAGTCACCGAAGGTATCGGTTGGCGGTAGCACTGTGTCTTGAATTGACAGAAGTTAGAATTCACAGATTATAGGATTTCAACCTCGGCCTAGTGCCCGGAAGGTCAGGGTTCGATTATTGTTGAAGTGATGGGTGTTCACTGCTGAAAAGTTCGAAACTAAGACAAAGCAGCCATTCAGTACTCCCTTGTTTTCAATGATTGTCTAACGGATGCTGGTTGGTGACTACCATATATCCAGATCGCAGAGATCCTGGACCTATTGCTGGTTTCATAAAACAGCCTAATACTCAGAATACGATGCACTGTAGCCGACACAGAACAACAGAAAACAGTTGATTGACATGATGGTTTATTTTTTAACCGATAACGAAACATATTTACAATCGTTAAACAGTACCAAAGTCTATAAATAAACGTTAATATACTGTACAACAATACTTCTGATCGTATTTCTCGAATGTGCTGCCACCTAGTTTCCGATTAAGCAATGACAGACTTCTTGTCTCCCGCCAGTATGCAGACCAGTTTGAACAAACAAACTGTTCAATGTTCACCAACATTAACAAAGTCTGCACTGAATTTAATCTAAATCCATGCGAAACTTATAGTCTAGTTATACTTAATACACATAAATATGTAATAATCGGTCTATTTTTATCAATTATTTATGATTTTAACTCTTATAGGTTGAAGGTGTGAAACTTACTATTCAACTACCACCTGAAGTCTTAAATATTACCGCGACCCCTAATGTTGGACGAACTAGTTTCGATGTGACAACCAAACTGTTTCAATGGGACATTGGTCGTATTGAAGCAAAGTCTGTTAATCCTTCAATGAAAAGTACAGTAAGTCTTTCACCTGATAAATTCTTAATTTGATTACTGTTCTTTTGTTTTTCACTTCTAAGTATTGACATCTTTTCAACATGTGGTTAGATATATATTATTATTTCCTTTAATTCCTAGAGGAACATAGGGCTTCAGCCGCGCATCTCCATTGCGTTTGGTTCTCTGCCACCTTTTCACCCCGCTCCAAGTCTGCCCACATGCTTTCATCTCCTCTTCACATGACCTCCTCCAAGTTAACCTTGGATGACCAACTCGCCGCTTCTCTTTCGGGTTCCATTTGAGGGCTTTTCTATTGATGTCACCTGATGGTTTCCTCAGAGTATGGCCAATCCACCTCCATTTCTTCCTGCTTATTTGTTGCACAATCGGTTCCTGGTTAGTTTGCTCATTCCCAGAGATCCCTGTTGCTGATCTTTTCTGACCATCTGGATATATATTACAAACATTCTATCTCAAACTTATATAAAAATTCTGTGTAAAAGGATAGTACTTATTTTTTTTCTTTCACGTTTCCCAGTG